TCGGCGCAGGAGTGTTGTAGTAACGGAATCCAGCGTCGTCGGCCGTCGCAGGTGACAGGCGACGGTGGCGCCGCGGCGCTGTGCGGCGACCCCGAATACGAAGACGCCGCCGCCGCCCCCGCGCGCCGCCGGCGCCGAACCCGTCTGGACCTCGCATCGCTTTTTTTCTTCATTTTGTGGCACAAGGAAAGGACGTTGTGAATTTCTTCAAGAAAATACTCGAACTGTTCTTTGGTTTTAAGTAATATTTTAATGCAATATGGTTGGTAAATGTTGAAGAATATTATTCCCAATTGTAATTTTGGTTTTCTAACAGGTTAGATGCTATTGACATGAACAATAATAAAATTTTAATGGAATAAAGGAAAGAATGATGGCATGGCACTTACCTACCAAAAGGAAATCATTCCAAATTTGTAGAACGGATTTTACAAAAAGTATAATATGTCATCGATGCTTCATAATTATAGGCCTAACGGATACGGCTCAGAGCGTAAGTCCCGTGTCATATTCATTATCGTTACTACTTTATTTGGTTTTGATTTTAAGCCAATACCTGATGAAATATTTACCTAATCCACACCTATTTAGGTACTTTTTCCCACAACACGAGACAAGACAAAAATCGAAAAACGGCTAAGGAAACAGGCACATGTACTTAGGTACTTACATAATCCTGGTGGTATGAAGCAGCATCCTAGAATATAGAACTGCATGCTTATACAAAAATAGTGAGGATCACTATAGTAAAATTGTACCTATCTATCATAACGGAAATTCGAATCTACATTTTGAATTTAGAATGTTTGCCTTTATACTTTTTTAAAGCATTTCTTCACATTGTTTCTGACAGATACAACACCGTCAACGTATCTTGGCGAGTCTGAAGTTAGCTGATTAGCAGCGCAGTACACAATTTTGTTCCTAAAAGATCTATTGCGCAGACAAACGGCGAACTTCAGACTCGCCAAGATACGTCGACCGTAGGTACTGTAGGTAATTCAAGAATCTATATTTTTCTATTTCTCATCTAGGTATTAGCGGGCCGCTGCGGCTTCGGATGTGTGCAATACAGATCCTCTTCAATCAGTCTATCTACTAAATAATAATAAAAAAACAATCAGCCGTACATAGTATACCTCCTCTTTTTTTTAAGTCGGTAAAAAAACGGCCTCGAAATCCATTGCTTATTTATTTTTGTAATAGGACGGCTAACGGCAAATGAGCTAACGGATTACCTGACGGTAAGCAATCAGCGCCACCAATAGAGATGGACACCCACAACAACAGAGGAGCTACGAGTGCGTTGTCGACCTTTTAATGATTAGGGAGAGATTGGTTGGGCCTCGAAACACAACGCTGTGATTGTTGCACGCCGGTTTTCTGTGAAGCCATGGTAGTGATGAGGGATCATATTTCCCATCCCACATTCACAATATACTTAGGTACTTATATTAGGATATTAATTAGGACTGGACTATTTCCACTAAGAATCAAGGTATCCCAATGCTGTCATTCAAGCCAATTGAAACTTAAGTTTATCTCGATCTATCAAGGCCCAACATCATTCACCAACATTGAGACCGCTGAGATCAGACGGGGTTGCGGGGTAAGCGCAATGAGGCACCGCGGCCTCGGCCAGGATAGTAGAAGGAACGGGGGGTTTTTTAGTCACTAAGAGTCTGACACTCCCTCCCGCCCGACTCAGAGCGGGAGAAGTCATTTGATGATATTCTCCTCACAAAAAATCATTACTGCAGAAATACGGTAGGAACCTCTTGTAGGTAGGTACTTGCTGAATGTTATTGCACTTTGTGAAATTGTGTTATTATTAATATGGCAATATTTATTAGCAATATCTAGGTTCTACAATGCAATGAATGAAAGTGTCATTAAGTTAAGTTGGTATAAAATTTTAGTTCCCGACTTATCCCGACATATCGATTTTGATATTATTTTTTGAGGAGGGAAACTCATCTAGTGTTTACATCGACAATGTGGAAACGAGATAAGTGCATACGTAGGTACGTAAAATTTTACATTTATTAAAACAACTATGATGTAAGAATTATTATAGTAGTTACCTATCTACTTCATCATCAGCCTATAAGTGTCCATCGCGGACAAAAGGCCTCTTCTCACACGTAAAAGGTTTGAGCATTAATCACCACGCTTGCTAAAGGCGGATTGGCCATTTCAAACTTATACCTAATTAAAAATTACAAGTCAATATTTCCTCACGATGTTTTCCTTCACCGTTTGTCAATGGTATCTAAGTATAATTAGAAATAACATATGACTTAGAAAAAGTCACATTGGTACCCACTTGCCACGTTTCGAACCCGCACTCTAATGCATATCAAGCTGGTGCGTTAGCCTCCGTGCCACCAAGACACTCTAGAGATAACAAACCATAGAGAAATTAACCAAACTAACACATATACAGGACACTAAGCCGTTAACCTAGTCAAGACACGTATTCCCAATTAAAACTACCAGGTTGAGTAAATTTAGTTCGAAAGTATTAGTAGTTATTATAAAGTAGAAGATCATTCGGTGGCGATGTGCCCTGCTGGGGCTGACCATCACCATGTCCTCATATAAGTAGTTGACAGCGGCGATCTCTCGGGTGCGGCCTTAATCGAGGCAATGGTGCGAAGCGAGAGGAACCGGGACGTCCTCTTTCTGAGAAATAGTGATGCTCGCAAAGAAGAAGGCGGAGGGAATTAATTATCCTCCTCACGCACCTGCTGCGGCAGTCGGTGACAATCCGGGCGTCGGGGATCGAGCGGCAATCGGACGACAGGATCGGAACTCCGAGAACTAGACCCGAGCGTATGGCGTGTAGCGTTCCGCGCCCAACAGGGCCGATATTTAGCCAAGGTCAAGGTCAAGGTCAAGCGCAATAGCTACGGTAGGTTCCTGTTTCGGATCCGGCAGGAGGAAACGCGAAATGTCGTCATTGTGAAGAACACTCCGAAGATACGGTGGAGCATAAGGTGGCGGTGTGCCATGCTTGGGCTGATCACGGCTGTGACCTCGGAGAATGATTCCGGCGGCGGCGACCTCTAGCGCCCACCCTTAGCCGAGGTCATGGTTCGATCACGAGAGGAACTGGGAAGCCGTGTCCTCTTACTGCAAAGCAGTGATAGGTACTCCCAAAGGAGGAGGCGGAACGCGGGAAGGAACTATCCTCCTCACGACCCAACCACCACAGGAGGCGACATTTCAGTCGTCGGGGACCGAGAGATGATCTCCGGCCACCGTAAGCGTGGATCTGCGGACGGCGAGTAATGGTAGCTCGCCGCCCAACCAGAGCCAGACCCGAGCGTACGGCGCGTAGCGTTCCACGCGCGCCTCAATCAGCCCATAGACCACCACAGACAGGGCCTTGCAAGAGGTGCCCTTCTGAGCATTCAGCGCAATGAGGCACCGCGACTTCGGCCCAGAGCAGAAGGAACGGGCGGGTTTTTAGTCAGTAAGAGTCTAACACTCCCTCCCGCCCAACCCTGGGCGGGAGAAGTAATTGGATGATTTCCGCTCACAAAAAAAAAACAAATTGTTTTTACTCTAGGAACACTATTTATCGCATTATCAACCAGTGATTCTCTCAGTAACGAGTGATGATTTTCCCCTCACAAAAAAAAACAGCAAAGACAAGAGCACCACTCACGGACAAATATGACAAAGGAAATTAATTAGGTTTTCATAAATCATGAGCCATTTGAAAATTAAGGTAGGTAAGTAGTCGTACAGGTACGACGATGTATTCAAGAGAAAAGGTCTTTTCTCTTGAATTGACATCTAGGTAGTTAGAAGTACTTATTAGGTTGTCTCGTGGGTTGTCTAATATTTGTTCCGATGTTATTTCGTCAATGATGATTGTTTGATGTTTTAACACCCGTATATTGTATTCTTCAGACACCTACCAAAGATAACAGAACTTGTTGCATAGGTACTAAAATAAAAAAATATCTGCTCCGTAACGGGGTACGTACAACCAAAATTATTAAATTATGTCAACTAAGAAAAACAGCGGGATCTTTCATCGTGATTAGGTACTTCATTAGGGAACTTCAAGCCATTCCGATCACGGAATAGATAAATAAGGTTGGAATGGTAATGTGGGCGGGGCGAGCGCGCCACAATTATGATTCGAAAATCATAACTCGACCGATTCATTCATTCACCGCGTTTGTTGCGCTTCGGGCTACTTCGTAGAACAGAGCTCTGCTTTAAAATGCCGTGTTGTGCAATTATAACTTGTAAAACAAAAAGTCAAACCGCAAGTATAGAGCGAGGAGGTATATCTTTCCATCGGTAAGTCGAAAATAACATTTAATTATCATTTAATTAGTAAAAAACATAAAATTATTCTGATCATTATGAAATTCCAAACATTAACAATATTATTGCAACAAGTTACAAAAAAATATACATTGCCCGATGTGTACTCGCTTAATCAACGCAATGACCAAGTCCGCTTACAATGTACTGCTTGCATTGCGTTCTTTACACTTCGTTTCGTCCTTTGCTCTGATTGGCTGTGATGCAAGGCGCCATGTTTATCGATAGTGAGGTGACCTTGTCGTTAAATAAAATCATCGATAGAATTCTCAAATAATTTATATTTACGTTTGATAAAGATAACTTTTGGATTATTTAATGATAGTATATTTTTAGTTAGACGTACTCGAATAATGAGTAAATTAAATGTTATATTAAATCATTGAATGAATGTGACCGAATGATATAAAGGGACATAGGGTTAAATTGAATTATTGGCAATACTTTAAGAGGTCATTGTACTCATCATTATGAACAACTTTTACTACGGGACCAAACCTGAAATCACGAAAGAAAAACGGCTGTTCCCTTCATTTTGATAAGTCTGAAAAATATTGCCTATGAATGCAATTTCACCCTGTAGATCTGTCATCTACAAGTATTTGCTATATTGTGTTTAGTATTTAAAATATAAGTAAAATGCAATTTTACTTCAGCAATAAATTATACATTTTAGGTTTCCTAAAGAGCCTAACGCCCGAGAACAATGGATTGACGTGACAGGTAGAGGAAACTGGATGCCGACAAAGACGAGTACTATTTGCTCTAAACATTTTACTGAAAATGATTTTATCATTAAAAAATCAGGTTATAGGTACCTAAAACCAGGGACGATCCCAAGAGAACAAATTGTTCAGATTTGTTCAAGTTCTTTGGTAGGTTTTGTCAAAATTTATTACTAACTTGTTGGAAGTTTGTCCCATATTTCATATTCTACTACTATTTATTGTCTCCTACATTATGAACAAATCTGATTTTAGGTTTTATTTTATTTGATTGTTAATTTTCATGAAATATATTTTGAGTATGTATGGAATCTTATAATAATTATTACTGTAGATTAATATCACACTCCGGTAAATGATTATCATCCAAGCTTCCAGCTCTTTAAAAATAATTTAATTTTGATTTTTTGTTTTCTACTTTGTAAGTTTATGTGGCATATTAAGACTTTTGCATTATTTTTCAGACAACTAATTCTTGCAATGCTATAATTAATAAGCCCAGTTACGTTGCTATTTCCGCCAGTGTGCAAAATTGCGAAGGCACTCAGGTAACATAATACTTATACACGAGCGATTATAATTCAAGATAACATATTATGTTATCTTGAATTATAATCGCTCGTGTAAAGTCAGCTTTTCAAGATATTTTATGCTATTTATAATTTTAGGATTTACAAGCACAGGCTTCATCTTCAACTTTGTTGACGTTGACACCAAAAAGAGATAAAAATTTAAAAAGAAAATACACTGAAGTAAGTTAATTTATACCTACAAAGATTGATCAAAAATCGTTTCATAGTTGTTTTTTTAAAGATTAATGGGTTTACTAATGTTTCTCCAAAGCTTATTTCACAAATTTTCACTTGACAAGCAACGATTCATATATATTATTGATTTCACAAACCACTTGTTCCGCAAATGTTTCATTCATTCATTTATTTGTAGGAAAGCGTAATGTCATCTTCAAATGCAAGCACTCCTAGGAAAAGAAAGCTACAAAAGATAATCGTCAACAAAGAATGTTTAATAAAGAAACAGAGGTTGAAGATAAGAAGGATACAGGCACAAAACCGAAGACTGAAAAAAAAATTTAATAAAATGCAAGATGTTTTAAATGATCTTCAAAAAAATTTTCATTGCAGGACGAAGATATATCTGTTCTAAAAAATTTAAATGTTAAGGTGATTCCTCTGCCCGTGAAATTTATTTTTTTTTGTCTTTTTTTCCAATTTACAGGTCAGTTTCAGCTTGTATTGATGATTCTTATGGTTATAATTATGTAAATACATACTTGTTATTGTCACGAATTAAATTTTCATCAAGATACAAGCTGAAATTTACCTGTAAATTGCAAAAACGACAAAAAAATAATAATATTGCTGGCTACATCGATGGAGGTGGCCTTATAAAAATAACAGAGATAATGAAGATATATTATTTTAATTTTATTCACAGATACAAGAACTGACAAATCGTATGATAGCAAAAAGTACTGGTGGTGGCCCATCTAAGCAAAAATATAGTCCAGCTCTGCGTAGTTTTGCGCTAACACTTGACTATTATTCGCCTAAGGCGTATGAATACGTACGCAAAACTTTTGATACTTGCCTCCCGGATCGCCGTACGCTTCGAAAATGGTACCAAAATATGGGAGGTGATCCTGGTTTTACTGCAGAATCCATAGAGGCGTTAAAAATAAAAGTGAAAAGCACGAAATATCCCATTATTGCAGCCCTTTCCTTGGATGAAATGGCTATACGTCGTCGTATAGAATGGGATGGAAAAAAATTACTCGGACATGTTGATATTGGCAGTGGCATCGAAGGAGACCACGTAGGAATAGCCAAAGAGGCTCTGGTATTTCTGGTGACAGGCATAAATTGTAATTTTAAGGTTCCCGTTGGATATTTCTTAGTTGACGGAATTAACGGAAGACAACGCGCAGACTTAATTTTACAATGCTTGGAACTTATAGCAGAAACAGGCATACAAATAATTTCCCTAACTTTTGATGGATGCGCTGCAAACATTGCAATGGTAGAATGCTTAAACTGTTCAATCAAAGATAAAAAAATTTCTTTTCCACACCCGTCAACGAATAATCCAGTTGTTGTAGTGCTAGACCCATCACACATGATAAAATTAATCCGTAATGCTTTTCAATGCTATAACACATTTTTAGATAAAGATGGTAATACCATAGAATGGCGATTTTTGGAACAATTAAATAACCTTCAAATGAAGGAAGGCTTTCATTTAGCGAACAAGCTTCGTTACCATCATGTTCATTTTCAAAATAATAAGATGAAAGTTAAGCTCGCAACGCAATTGTTCAGCCTAAGTGTAGCAGACGCTATAGACTTTTGTCGTGACCAATTAAATCTACCTTCATTCAAAAATAGTGAAAGCACAACATTTTTTTTGAGGATTATCAATAACATGTTCGACATTTTTAATTCCCGAAACACATATGAATATAACTTCAAAAAAGCTCTAACAGAATCCAACGCTGCAATGCTGCTTAATTATTTAGACATGGCGACGACGTACCTATCCGAGTTGAGAACAGAAGAGGGAACTCTTTTGACAAAAAGTTTACGTAAGACTGGTTTCAATGGTTTTATTGGATGTGCTGAAGCTGTTAAACATTTTTATGAAACGTTAATACGTCCTGGAGTTCTGATTTTTATGCCATTTTACAAAGTAAGCCAGGATCACCTTGAAATGCTTTTTGGAAATATTAGGTCACATGGTGGAGGTAACAATAACCCCACGGCCCGCCAGTTTAAAGCTGCGTACAAAAAACTTTTAGTTCATATTGAGTTAAAAGCTCTCGATAGTGGAAATTGTACTGCGCTTGAACACATTTCAATTCTTGATTGTGCATCATCTCCTGTAGCACGGATTAATAGATCCATACGAAGGATTGCGATTGAAGATGACGATGATGATGATGATAATAATAATAATGAAGAGGATATTAACGCATTTTTCAATACCATCTCAGATTTTAGCAATCAAATCATTAGCCATATTTCAGGATACATAGCGCATATTTTAATTAAGAAAATAGATTGTGATATTTGCATTGGAGCGCTGTTGTCCAATAGCATAAATGAAGACCATAAATTTATAGTTGCTAAAGATAAGGGTGGTCTGTTATACCCGTCAAGAGATTTGATACAGATTTGTAAAATTTCAGAGTCTGTTATCAAAATTTACACGGAAAACCTCCGTAATATAAACAAAAAAATGTTGATGGCAAAAATTATGCGTCATTTTGTAGGAAGTGAAATATTTAAAAACATAATTTATCATCAAATTGGCCAATACCCTACAGCAAACCACGTCACAGACCTCACCAAAGCAATTGTTGAAAAATATATTAACGTAAGGTTACACTTTGTTTTGAAAAACTCTTTAACCATTGATAGCAAGCGCCAATTGCTTAATAAATACGTTTTATTCCAAGGACAGTGATTATTTGTAATTAATAAAAGTAAAATAAATATTTCTTAATATTTATTTCATGTTTCATTTTTTCCCATGCATTCATCAGATATTTATCGATAAAGAATATCGACTTTATCAAGCACTAGCGCGTATGAGCTTTTTTGCATGTGTGTGTCTATGCCTACGAGACCTTAGAGCTAGTGTGCGAACGAATCTCTGCCCTGAGATTTATGTGTGTGTGATTTGGTTGTGTGCGAAATATTTGTAAACATACTAGTGCGTATGTGTAGAAATTAAAATAGTGGGAGACAAGCGGCGACACTGGTCCTAATACAAAATTGGAGCTAGGGCCTTTCCAACCTTATTTATCTATTCCGTGATTCCGATAATTCTGTGGCTCAAAGAAACTGCGAGCATGGGTCTCTTAATCCCTCGCTTAGCTACGATACCTATGTCTTTTTAGGAGTCCAGAACGTCGAAGAATTCGTTTTGAAAGAAAAATAATAGGTCTTTACCTATGAAATTGCCGTTTATGATAATAACCTATGAAATTGCCGTTCTACAGTACTGGCCATTTCAAATCAAAATAGTTTTTGTTAGGCTGAGGCTAATAATATAATTATTCTTGTTTTAAAAACATGGCATTCTTTTACCAAAAGTAGTCATTTGTTTATTGATTAGTGTTACATTTTCATCGCATTTCAAAACAAAAAACGGCAATTTCATAGGTAAAGACCTATTAATAACAACACGCTTCCTTTATTTTAATAAAACCTTTCAGGTTCTATTACTTATTTATACAAGGGTGGTTTAGGGTGCAGTTCCATTGAGGCGGAGCGCAGCAAAGCGGAGAAGAGCTGTACCGCGATTCACCCTATCTAGATTTTGCCCTAATCGAAGTAGAACATATGAGTCTGGATCTCTATCATTCGGTCCATCTGGGATCCTAGATGGAGGCCTGGATTATCAGTACCTACAAGGTATGTATGTGTACCTAAGGATCTAGGTACCTAAAATTTAGAGGAATTTTCTCAATTTGACCGGTACAAATGTAGGTATCTGAATACCTTTATGATTTTATTGTTGCCTTAGTCTCTTCATTTCTTGGGTTGAGTATTGTCGTGTCTTGTACTAAGTACTGGAAGTGATCGTCTCACCCAAGGTAAGAGAAGTAATTTGATGACTTTACCCCATTTCTTCATTTTAAAACCTGTTTAGTTGGGAACGGCACTGAGCATAGATATAAGAAAAGAGTTTTTTATATTTCTGTGGCACTGAGGATGCTCATTGTTATCGTGGTCTTGAATTCGCCCACTATTATGATATTATATTATCAATAAGTGGAAAGCTGTGAAGTATTCGCTATTAAATAAATAAAAAATGTTCCAAAAACTTACGCCTTTCCATACGTTCGAGTCAAGTTGTAATGAAATGACGTCTTCCTATTTATTGGAATTGCAAGGTGGCGTCACTAAAATGTCTCCTGTACCTATTAGTAGGTTAAGGATTAAAGACTATTTTTGTTAGACTCCGCAGTTTCGAACGTTATTCTGCGGCACTGCACTCACGGCAAACTAATTTTCCTCGCTGTCCATAAGAAAATAAGCATACTCCGTCAAGTTGATATTTTGATGAAAATTACCTATATAAGTGGTTCAGCAGTAGGCACTTATAGGTTTGATAATATGTTTGTAGTTGATATTTCTAACCATTGCATAATAAAATTCAAAGAAAATAATGGTTTGTTACTTTCCTTGAAAAAAGTAATGAACTAGTTATGTGAGGCACCAATGACCGGGTCGACCGGAGTAATACCACGGCCTGACAGAAGACAGGCGTGAAGCAATACATTCTTTGTGTGAGAGAGGTGTAGTGGGGTTACCGGACCCCCAATCTTTCTCCCCCTATCCCCCATCCTCTAATGGTGAACCCCTAACAACCCACGACAGGTACGCACAACTACGCACTCGTAGTAACGTCCTTTCATCCTTTGGTATTATGAGTGTCCATTATGCGGCGCCTACTGTACCGCGTGAATCCAATACACTGTAACTGCGAAAAACAGATTTTGAGAAAACGAGCAAAAACACTTTTTTGTGTTTTCAGAGGATTACGATTATGTTTATTAAGATATATTTAAGTGTTTGATATCAATAAAAAGGTAATTTTATAAGGTTTTCAGCCCCCCCAATTAAAATACATTTTATCGTTAGTATATTGATTTACCATAGATAACTTGTATTGCCACAACAGTCAGCAGAAGCGAATGAAGAGATTGTTATGGTAATACACTGTATATTAGAGTTACAGTGTATTGCACGGTTAAAACAGTGTTTTTTTTACTGGTTCAAACAATGTATCTCTGAAAGTTTGGTTCGTTTTGTTGCGTGACCAAGAAATAAATGTATTTTTTGATTTGACAGTACAGTCAACTTATTTTTTTTTATTGTAAGTTTTCATTTTTAAGTTACTTTTGTCCTGGCTCACGAAACAATTTTGTCCCTGAACTTTCGAATTCATTCGAAATCATTTTCAAGAACTGGGTCGGGCTCATACCTGTAGTACGGCACTTCCGATTCCACAAGAGAGTACTTCAGAGCAAGCTGCTGATGGATGATCCTAGCTACAAGGTTGTGCCTATGCAAGTACTCGCCGTTAGCTAGACGAGAACAACCAGAGATTATGTGACGAATTGATTCTCCCGGACATGACATGTCCGACACATGTCAGTTGTGCCATCCTTCACAATAAATCTCCGGTAGTTATTCGTCATGATAACTTCTTCCATAATTGCAAAGACAAACCCTTCGGTTTACCCAAAGAGGTCTCCGAACCGCAGCCAAGCTACGGATTGCTCTGCCATACTTCCCTGCGAGCGTTAGTGTCAAGTACGACGGGTTTGCGCCAGTTCTCGATAGCCAGGGAGAGCGGGGTGAGACCTTTGTCCACTGCCACTACATCTCGATGCATATCCACGTCGGCAGCTAGGAAATATTCCCTGAGACTACATACCTCGCGGTTGTGTAGGGTCTTGGCATTTAAAAAGCCTCGGCCCCCACACTTCCGCGGGATATACAGTCTCATCACCGACGACCGCGGATGATGCATTCGGTATGCAGTCAGCATTGTTCGGACTTGCCTATCCAGGGCGTCCAGTTCAGTTTGAGACCATTTGAGTACGCCGAAAGAGTACATCAATACCGGCATGACCCAACCGTTGAAGGCACGCTTTGTTTCCACCTGAAAGAAAGCTATTAAATACCTTCTTCAGGCGACCAAAGAAACGCTCCTTCAGCGATTGCTTTATGTCAGTGACATTGATGCCTAAAACTTCCGACATACCCAAATACTTATAGGTTTCTGTTGGAGAGAGAGACTTCAGGTTTATGGAATCCGTGAGTTGAATTCCCACAAATTCCACAACCTCCCCTCGTTTTACATGCATGTTCGCACATTTGTTCACACCGAACTCCATCCTGATGGCACTACTGAAGGTTTCAGTTAGCTTGAGTAGCTCCGCCAGTTGCAGTTTGTTGGGGGCAAAAAGCTTCAAGTCGTCCATGTAAAGGAGGTGAAACTTGACCACCTCTCTTCAACCGGTAGCCTAGGCCTGAATTCTCTAGGAGTGTGCTTAGGGGATTCAAGGCTAGGCAGAACCAAAGCGGACTCAAACTATCACCCTGGAATATACCACGCTCGATCCTTACAGGTTCGCTATTCTTTTGGGTATATCGACATCCTGGATAGCGAAGAACTGTACTTCATTGCCTCATACAGGACATCAGAAAGGAGCGTAGTATTGTATCAATTTTATACAATTCCAACACCGTCATGAGCCATGTATGAGGAATAGAGTCATAGGCCTTCTTATAGTCTATCCAACATGTCGACAGATCCTTACGGGCACGTCGAACCTGTTGGCTGATGGTCATATCAGCGAGGAGTAGCTCCTTAGTACCGCGGGATCCGTTCTTACATCCATTCTGAGCAGTTGACATGATTTTATTTTTGTCAATATGACTATTAATTTTACTTCTCAGTGTGGATGTAAGAACTTTAAAGACCGTCGGCAGACACGTGATCGGTCTATAATTTTTGGGTTCCGCAGTACTACCTGATTTATGGAGCAGGTGGGTTACTCCTGTCGTTAGAAACTTGGGCAGCGATCCTGCCTTAAATTCAACTTTATAGTCATTCAACTACATTTAAAAATACGTAAACGATGGCACGTGCCTGCTTTGAACTGAGAACTTAAATCGACCAATAATGATCGAGATTGTCGGTCAGCCGCGCTCTGATTGGCGCGCTCGCGTCGCACGACATTTTTAACAAAACACTGTATCTTAAAACGCGCGAGACTTATTTTGCCAACACATCTTTGGTTACCGTGTTTTGCAATTTTAGGCTTTTAGTCTAAGTTAAATACAGTGTTTTTTGCATGACGATATCTCAGTTGTTTGTGAATAAAGACCAAAATCTATGAATGTAGGATCATGTAACAGGCAAAAAGAAATTGAATGGACGTTGTTAATTCAAAACACTGTAACTCCAGATACAGTGTATTGGATTCACACGGTACTACTGCTTACCATCAGGTACCTACGTAATCCGTCTACTGGTTTGCCGACCTGTGACATAGTGGGTGAATGCGCAATAATGCGCAGAGTGGTTCTGCCCGCTCTTTGCCCACCGTACACCTCGTGAGACCACCTAGGTGTGCAGCGGGAAGTTTTTTTTCCTACTGTTCACCTTGGTTCACCTGGGTGTACCGTGGGAAATATAAAATTTCCTCCATTCACTTTATTATCAAAACTATATCTGAAGAGCAAAGAGATTAATGATTAAAACATATTATGCATTACGATATTCTCCTCTGTCTCCTACTGATTGTAAACAGGAGCCATGAAGTGGTAATTTGAGTTCAAGAAAAAGATAGAATTCGGCTGGACCCATATCTGGCGAATATGGTGGCTGCTCGATGGTATTTGTTGAGTTTTAGGTCAAAAATTCTTTCACAATGATGCCTTGTGCGAAGGCATGCCTTCGCACAAGGCCAAGCCTACCCAGGGCAGGTAAAATCTAATATATAAAAATGAATCGCAAAATGTGTTGGTAAGCGCATAACTCAAGAACGCCTGGACTAATTTTGTTGTTTGTTATTGTCAGGAGGTTCTTATCAAAGACAATTTTTGAAATGTCGAAAGGAAAGTTAGGAAAAAGTGACCCTTTCTTTGTTTTTGAGATAGTTGGTCCCGTGCAAAGCGGGTTCGGCCCGCTAGTAACGAATATAAGGAATGATATTTCTCCTTAGAAAGGCTTAAAACGGTGGCCGCACGTAGTTGGGGGTCTTGGATAAGCGCTTGAAACGCAGCCCTGCATAGTGCAGTGTTCCGATGTCTTTTTTTGCTTAGTAAATAACCATTAATTCGTTTTAATAGCACTCTAAGCGAATGTGCGCGCCTTGATGTGAATTGACTAAAATCTTTAAAAACAAATAAAGGTAAGGATTTCGTTCCGGGTAGGTGAAAATAATAAAAATTTGCAAGACATGCTCTATAATTATATATTTCACAAATGTACTCAAATCATCAATGCTGCCTTGTTCCGAGCTCTGTTGCAGTGTTTACAACTAAGTCTAGCTTTGCTAGTTATAAAAACGAACCTCATTACAATCACAAAGGGTTTATAGGGTTGTAGTAAATAAAAACAAGTTGATGGAAAAATACTTTTGTTAAACACATTCTTTAGAAAAAGTAATTACATGACTTGACTTATGTTTATGCAAATTTAACTTTTATTTTAAGCATTAAATCTAATATGTTTAGCCCGGCAGAGAGGCAGAGATCACGGTGAGCATACCGCGCCACCCGCATCGGACTGTACATTACTATATTACGTTCAAGTCACACCTAAAAAACTTTACAACATGAACTTACGCTCATCAAAACTTATTAAATATTTAATTACCACTAAAATGTTATAAAATTAAACCAACAGTAGCATAGCGGCACGCCGGTATTATAATAAAATCTACAAGATACGTCGAATTAAAGATACATGCTTTCATTAAAACTAACGATCGATTTAGCGGTTACTTTTAATCAGTCGATTTACTTAATTCGACGAGCTAGCTCTGTGTCACTTAGTGTAATTTGCCTTAAAATAAGTGAGTTGGGTGTGCTGCGAGTCCGATCGGCAGACGGATTTAAAATGCAGCTTATCCATCGCGAGATCGGCCCCGCAGGACACCGTACTAGAGTGATACCGCCGCGTAAATCTTACCTACGTACCTAAGCCACCCGTTGCACGCCAAGTGGGCACTACATACACAACTATGAAACGTCCACCATCAACTATCCACTTAGAACCGCCTAACCCTATTTCAATCATACGTGAACAAATTCACTACTAATGTAACTTCGAGTTTTCAATTATTTATTATAGAATTTATAATTAAAATTCAATTTTTATTGCTAAATTTACACAATTTTGAATTGCTAAATTTATGCAATCTAAAGAGGTTATTGTTCTGATACTATATAGAAGAAATATTAAAAATTTTAAATTGTCCAGTACACACGTTATAATCATTTAGTGCGACGTGCAATACACGCAGGTGAACAGCAAGAGATATCGTCCTTATTGAACCCACACACTTGTAGCACAGTATAAGATGCTCGTCCCGAGAACAAAGCGCACTACACGCAACAATTTTATTTTAATTCGGCCACCGAACTAGTGATTGTCCGTTATTATTACTGGCACTCAGCAATCAGTCCATATGCATGCTACACTATTTTTGTCACAAGGCAACAGCCTGCTACGTTACAAAATTTAGTAAAATCACGTTAATGTTTTTTGTCGAAGCATCCGATGTCCGAACTACGGTGCAGTCAGTCCATATCAGGAATATTTGAGTCAAGATCATGTGTCATTAGCGATGAGTACAAGCCAGCGTCCCGGTATACCTCGTTCGTATGTACATCGAACTTACATATATATCATATTGAAATCACATTAATTTATTGATCCATACCTAAAATCTTAAAGTACATGAATTATACAATTTCACAGACAAAGTCTTTTCGAATTACAATACGTCAAATATATACCAAAACTTGGTAAAAATGGATACATAGTTGGTAATATAGTTTACAGATATTATATATATATGTATATTTAAAACTGCGACTAGACGTGATATTTTTAAATCAGGCATACAAATTTTAAATACAATAGTTAAAAACCGTCATTATTTGAGACAATAACCAGACTGATTGAGTAATGACAATAATCAATTTATAAATGTACAAGAGTTCACAACTACAATAATTATAATATGTACAATAAATTGTTCGTCACTGATTTACTTCTTTTGGAAGAGTTTGTTCCACTGCAACACTTGCTTGGGGGGCTGGCCAGAAGTGGACGGCTGTGGCTGCGGCGGCTGGCTAGGTCCTGCCTCGCCTTGGAAGCCTGGAACAGCACACACGATGTTAAACTTGTTCTAACAAAACAGAAATAAAATTGCATTTTAATTTTTAGAAATAAAAGTGTGAATCTTACCTTTCTCGGCATAGCCTTTATACATGTGCTTATGCCGGAGAGACTCCCAATTGGCGCGACGCTACTCGGCTATCTCCCGTTCCCCCCCTCCCGCACCCGTCTTGTCTACAATGCAGGATCGCGCCACAGACGCAAAGAGCCTGGCCAAAAAAATATGTTAGCATCCCACAGAAGTGATGTCTGGCAACACCAAAGCATGCTTTCTACACGTCAACCTAACGCTAGGCGGCGCCACTCATACGCAACGTGTTCACTTAAAAGCCAATTAAATTGATTTAGGTTAAATTTTTATGAAATTAGAAATCTAAATAGGTAATATTAAATTGAAAGACGAACTTAATGTTGCGTCCGAGAAGCGTCGTCTAGAAAGTTTTGCCCAATTATTACTTTAAGTTTGATAGAAAGGCTTATGTAAACTTTCAATTGTTTATGAAGGAATTGAAGCCCTGTCTAAAAGTTTTGTTGTTACCTTATATTTTCCTTAGCTGCACTAATAACACTTGGGTGAAGCCATTCATCTTTTCTCAACACAAAATAGTAGCACGAATATAGAAATAAAATAATTAGATTGCACGCGAGTCCTGTGTTATTATTTTGTGTTGGGAAAACAAGAACGGCGTCCACCTAGAAACATATGTACATTAGTAGTGTTCACAAAGTTTTTTGAACCAATTATATAGATATCAATGATGATACGTTTTAACATGAAAGATCAAGTCACTCAACGAGAGTAACATTAGTTAGCTGGGTTTATCAAATTCCTGAAAATCCTACTCCTATGTAAAAGTATAATTTGCGCGTATCTAAAGAAAGTATTTAGTAGCAAAAATAAAAAGAAGAACAAAGAGACTCGTAAAACAGTTGAATAGGTGATTTAATTATTGTCATTGGCCACTGATTTGGATATGTTCAACGCGCAAGTTATACTGGGCATGAAAATAAAAACTTACATACTAAAGCTAGGCGCGCATGAAAGCTAGCTCAGTCGGCCGATAAAGATAAGCTAAACCATGTGTTTGATATAAATACATGTGCGCATGAACGCTAAAAGAATCAGCCGAGTTTTAGAGTGTTCTGAAATTACAACACAAAGGAGTGTGGACATATTACCGATTTAAAAAAAAAATGTACCAAGGACGATGGAAAGAAAAATATCGATCTATTTATGTTTTACTTATAGCTTCAGTTCTCCACTCCTTTGTGATGAACTTTCGACAGCACACAAAACAAATTTTAATAATGTTAAATATGGTAACAAACAGACAATTGACATAGATTGTTAGTAAAGTTAGATGCTTGAAACCAAGGAAATTGTGAAGGTGAGAAGCGTTTTCCAATTATCATCAAGAGTTCACTCTTCCGCATAAAATCGGTCGATTGAATTAGTCTTCATACGCGCATAGCTACGTTACTGGTGATCTAGATAGGTGTCAGGATGGCCCACACTTGATTAACATATTTATTTAGTCATTAAGAGGATCGGATGAATAAAATTTACTGGCCATCACCATTCCTAGCTAGCACTGAGACCGAGAGACGACACCCGGTTGGGCTACGGTCCCCACACATTTATGAACAAGAATAATGATGTCGACAAGCTAATGTATGAACATCGCAGCCGAATCGGCAGCGCCGTCAAACTCTCGGCCTTTTGCGGATTCCGGAGCGAGAATTACATAAACGCGGTCAGTAAGCGGCGCAAGTACAAGCGCATAGACTACATCACTACCGCAGTAGCACGAAATATCGCTCATCGCGGGGCCTAACTGTGTCATTCTGATACGATATTATGTACTCCATACACACCCCGCACAAGCGCTACTTTCTGACCGCGTTCATGTAACCGTGTCGCTCTGACATCAGCTCAAGGTGAAACTCCACACAGGCAAGTAAGCAAATTGTGAGAATGAAAAATGACGTAAGATTAAAACCTCTTGGAATCTCACCCCAATAAAGGAGGGCGCGCAACCAAAAAGCGGTCAGCGATATGCGTAAGTGTGCGTGCTAGCGTCCGTCTGTACGTACAACACAGTCTAGCGAGCATGCGACTTCACTGGTCAGTGGACGGGAAACTAAACAAAACTCAACAAATGTATGGGAACGCTTGACCACAATGTGATTGCGAGAGATCCTTTCAAATATGACTAGATATTAATAAGTGCTCAAACGAGTACTGTCAAAGGTCATACAGAAATTTACATTACTCAACCTCTAACGGCAAGGATGGTTGCCGTAAGAGATTGTTACACAAACAATATTTTCACAGCCAAATTATCGAAAGTAAGAATTAAATAATAAAAGGCAAAAAAATGATAAAATCAATATGTATGGCATCGATCAGTACAAGTCGAGTATTTATAAAAGGGGGCTAATTACCGCTCCAGGTGAAGTCGGATAGCACTATTAATAAAAAAAGAAAAACAAGATTATCCATAACTGCACTTCATTATTATGCAATCTGTATTATTGATATGCTGATTTACACGTCTCCTAGTTAAACAACCAGTTGATACAATAGGAATACTTTGTGGAATATGTTTACATATGACTATTGTAAAAATGATTCATCTTACTCGAGTGCGTAATATTACAGGATAACTTGTTAGCACGTTCCGATCGGATCGCAGCGTGTTAACAAAAGTATGAGCTCGTAATATTCCGATGACAACAAGCGAGCACAGAGCGTCGCGCGGTTGGTCCGGTGTGGACAGGAGACGTTTAAATCAGCGAAACATCATATCGCAATATAAACAAGAGATAAGGAAAGCGGACTGCTTTTTCAAGCATGCAGCAATATTTTCATATTTCATGTGCTCATTTAACTCAAGAGGAAAAACCTTTGTCATGCGCTCAGAATGTTTCGCCTTCAGTGCATCCAGCCTCATTCTGATAGAAATAACTATTTCACCCCTTTTATGTCCATGATTAATCGTAACTGACTAAATGACTGAATTTAAAACATACTGTCTATTAAAACGTATGTGTGTTCGGGTATGATATTTAAACGTCTAGTTTCTACACTAGACTATGATTGCGGCTGGCAGTTGGTTAATAAGGGTTGAAGCGATGAAGTGAAAATGTGCGGGTGAACGGTTGGATCGGGTAGAGCTCGAGCGCACAAGTAGGCTGGAGTAGGATAGCAACGAAAGCGGTCGACGACAACAAACGCATTTCCCGCACACCTCACGCTAGGGTGAATACTATTCTATCAGGTTAATGTACACTACTTCGTGATCGGTTAGTATGTTAATGATTCAATTAGCGACAATTAATTACAGTCAATGTGACGAATGTGTACTTACTTTTCAATCTCTGGTGCGCAATGCACAAACTCATGAGACCAAAATTTGTAAATCGGGTTTTTGATGAGCTCGATGAAGGTGATGAGCAGGCCCCACGGGTGCGGCCGGTTCACGATGAGTCGCTCGAGCAACATCCTGGTGATCTGCTCCTGCACGGCCTCGGAGTTGGCCTCCGCGAACAAGTACAGCAGGCAGCACGAGAAGTAGTGCGTGTGACTGTTCGGGTAGCGCAGCTGGTTCGCAATAGCGTTCAGGAACAGGTACCTGCGAACACAACGGCACTGTACTCCGCTGCATGACTGGACTTGTCCTTGCCCTCGCATATAGAACCGGCATGCAATATATTTTAACATCTAATTCATCTACAACAAACTCTGTTCAATATTATCGTGTACTTGTTTGGTTTAATCGCGACATGTTGTGTCTACAATTAATTAATTTCAACTTCTCGTAGTCCATTGCTGACGCTGAAGGCGCTCCATGCACTTCCGCCGCTGCCCCGTCTGTAGTAATATAGTTGTCGAGATGCTCGATGTGGTCCCCGCCAGCCCATGTGGTCTGGTCCCAACTAATGACTCGTGGCCTATCAGCCACCATCTAAGCTATCCTACACTGATATTTCGACATGCAGTTAGTACAAGTCAATGGCAGTAGTGTCGACAAACGACAATAAAACCGCAAGTTAGTTACATTTACCATCACCTAAAATATAAATTATTCAATCTTACCGCCCTTCGAAGTCGAAATCGACAGTGAAGTTCTGGAAAATATCCATGTGCGCGGAGTGGGCAATGGTGGACATGTTGGGAGTCTGGCCCTTGGCCCTGATGTGCGCGATGGCTTGCGTGCCCACATACAGCACCACGGCGTTCATCAGCTGGCAGTTATACCGGCGGCCGGGCTCGTTCAACACCTGCGACAGTAAACAACTTAATGCCCGTTGCATTCAAAAATGTTTAAAATTTTCTATAGATAGCTTACAATCCAACAGTACCTGCATGTTGCCTCTCAGCTCTGACAAGAAAGTGACGGGGGCGCGAGCCTTCAGGTACGCATCCAAATCCTTCTTGAACTGAGATGCAGGGATAATAGTAGCGTAGTTGATGACAGCGCGGGGTGGCAGGGTGATCTCCGCTAGCAAGTCCACCTTCAGGTTAGGAGTGAAGGGGTCAGGGAGACGCATGTTGCGAGGGAAAGCGGACAGTATGAGATTCCTCATTTGGATGCAGTTTGGAGGGATTTCGTCACAGAAGCCGTAGTGGTAGTCACATAAGAACTCAGGAAAGTCGTGAAGGAGCACAAGAAGCACTTTGAGCGTGCCCTTGTACAGCATCATGACGGGAGTAGCCAACTCTGTGTTGCGTAGGAACGGGTCTAGAAACTTGAACAGGTCGATCAGGAGCGTCGAGTACATTCCCCAGCCCTGCGAAACGTAACAAGCATTGGTATTATCCTCTCGGCATCGGGTACACCTGCAGTGGTGTGTATCTACACTATGTCTGCAACACACATGCACACTTTCTACCAAACCAATCACCTATTTTAGCAATTGCATCCGAATGAATAAACGTTGAAAAGGGTATTCATTTTCATTAAATTTACGAAGTCAAGAGTAACATACGTCCACACATCCATACGGTTATGTCTCATTTTGTGATTGCAAAACATTTTTCTTATAAGGTTTAAATTACATATTATTTCACTATTTTAATAGACAAGTAATGTAACATTGTTTTTCTTTGCCAATACAAGGCCCAATCGAAAACAGGAAACTATCGAAATTGATTTTACAACATCAGGACAGGTGAAACTAAGTAGAGGCAATGATAATGCGTAAACAATAATAGATTATGAAAACATGATTCATGCCAATAAAGAAAATGTTTTAATGCAAAAAAAAAACAAATTAGGTACTTAGTTAATGAACAAAAAAAGTAATCTTTCTTTCTACAAAACTAAAGCTTGTATGCGTCAAATCAAGCTTCAAAAGCAGGCTAATCGCTTGAACGCAAGCGGTCTGCCATTAAAAGAGAGCGATTTGTTCTAGCAGATGTTTATAGACAAACCATTGACGTCTTAAAGACACTTTCCAACAAACAAAAGAATTATTGGTGTTATGTCAATTCCAGGCGACACTTAAAACAACAAACTATGCCTTTGATCCTTGAAGACTTTGTGTTAGTCAGTCTTTTTTACCCAAAATTATAAAAAAATAAACGATGTTTTTTTTCTTCTTGCTCAATCAGGCAATGGTTTGTCCATAGGGCAGAAATCGGTAGGAATAACAAACTACTGCGTGAAAAGATGTCAACAATTTTTAGAGATGGTTGCAAAGAATTAAGCGTTACTATTTAAATAGCTTAGTGTATGTGAGAACAGTTTCAACCATCTCTAACAATTGAGCCGTGAGAGTGAACACACAAAAAGTAAATGAATTTAATTGCCTGGCCTCCTGTAGTAAGCTAAAAACAAAGGAACGAAAAAAAACAATTAAAAAATTATAATCTGTAAAACCCATTGGTAGATTCTCATAAGACATTCTGTCTGACATGATATTCATGGTACTTTGCGCTTGTGACATTGTTTTAGCTGCAGTCAAGAAACCATATTCTGATTTATTGTGACAGAGAGAAGGCTCTCTACAAATAAAGACAACCCTGTGATTCCCAAAACTATTAAATAGCGATGCATAATATGAAGCGACGATCCAGTATATTTGATTATTTTGTGTACTGTTACATCGTTTATACCTGTTATTTAAAGTTATATTAGTGGGATGATGCAAAAAAATATCCCTTTTGAAATCTGTAGGTAAACCCGAGGTCAGGCAATTATAGATAAAGTAATGGACCCCTTGGGCATCAGTGTTTTATTAAGGCCATAAATGAGAATGATGATTTCTAATTTACTAGGTATTATGAAAATTATTCTAATACTTTATATGAAAATACTTGTAATAATGAGGTTTGATAATGTTATGAGTGATAAACAGAGGCAATGGACACATACTGATTACATACTTGGTAAAAATTACAGATTTGAGGAGCAACAAACAATTATACAGGCCCTAGCAATGTCTTTGTAAATGATGTGGGTAACTTACTTTTTGTTGTGGTGTTACAGCAAGAACGCGATTGATGAAAGCACGGTGCGCGACAACCTCCAGCCATGCGTAGGCAAAACCTGGCGCCACGCTCGGGCGAATGATGCGCAGCGTATGGCAGAATGCAGTAAGAACCTAAAGTAACAAGAACATGGTATATTACAGGTACTAACTGGCGATCAACACACATAGACAACTAAACGACACATTCTATACAACACGTAAACTTCACAGACCTTTTCACGGAAAGAGATCTGTAAAAAGTCATCATAATGAATTTAGACAGAACATTTGGCATTAACGATGTATATCAATATCATCAGAATCTAAGTCTAAACCGCAGTGCCTTTACCTGGTAGTTCATAGATTCAAGAACAGGTTCAGCCATGTTCATGTCTAGGAACAGAATGAGCAGCAGTCGATGGTACGGCAGCTGTTGGAAGTTGGTACTGTGCTCTTCGTGGTCTTGAAGCAGGCATCCAGCAATGATCCCGAGGATCTGCGAAAAACACAGGCAAGAATTAGTTAATATTTATTATAAGTTACGAGTCAAAATGATATTTTATTAACTTTCACACTCACCTTGTTCAACAGGTTCAGTTTCGGAGTTGGATTACCACCATCAGCAGTGTTCTTGATTAGAAGGGATACCAGCTTGATAAACGAATCACACATGGCGTAATACTTGTCCCTCTTTGGGGGCATAGGTGGTGTGTTCATCCTGTCTTCGTTCAACTGCTGGTATACATTCTCAACACACATCTGTGTCGCAATCCTAAAGAATCGCGTGATCATGTCGTCCGATTTCAGAATTCCGTTCATGTTCATGCGGTGAACGTAGAGGTTGAAATTCTGTGCTAGTTCAATCTCGGTCAAGGGGCTTAGAAGCACATTTCTCCATTCTCGGAGAAGATTCTCTGTCTTCTCTTGTAGGCCAGGTGGGTCGTCATAATTTTGAGACTGTATAAATAAAGATACATGGTGTTAAAAATTCTGTAAAATATATGAGTTAAGGTTTCACGTTTAAGCACTACTTACCCGGACTTGTAATATTCCAGAGTGGATATGCGCAGTTGGGCCCAATGGAGACCTCTCTCCAAGGTATGCGCTAGGGTCTTGGTTCACACGGAGCATTTCGATTAAGGAGCCAAGTCCTTCAGGTGGGGGCTGTCTGGAGTGTGACATGACCCTGACAAGGGTCTCTGTGGTGTGGTACAAGTCGGACTCATTTACGTAAATGTTGTTCCTATCATCGACCAGGTAAAGCTGGACCAGTTGCATAGCAAAGGCAACAGCCATGTAGTTGTTGCCGCTGTCCATCATATGCGCGAGGGCAAGGTCATACTGGACACAGAAAAGACAATGTTAATTTCAATTACAACTTTACACAAAACATGTATAAAATTTGCGTATTTTGTTCTGGACTTACCTGGGGCAAGTTGATCAGATGGTTCCGGATGAGGCAGTCGACAGCTTCGACGTTGTATCGCAGCTCCTCTCGGCACTCAGTGAGGCAGCAAGTAATCTGTTTTGTAGTCCACACGTGGCCATAGACTCGCGCATCCTCCAGCAGCTTGAGCACGCGGAGGTGGATGTCCCGGTAGCGAGTCATCATTTCGACGTGTTCGCTATTGGCGCCCGGCTGCACGATGTGCCCGTCCAGTAAACCCTCCACCGCCTAAGACACAGAAAACTGTTACAATCTTCGCTACATATCAAGGTGCTGTCAAGACAACATCTAGTCAGTTACCATTATTGTCCTCTCAAGCGATGTTAATACAATCTGCAAGGGACTGCAAACTTAGTTGTCAAATGTTGATAAGAGACAATTGAGAAGGCTCAAATAAAATTAAAATAATCAAAATAATGAACAAACTAAAAATTAGGATAGTATAAACTTAAAAGAAGAAATGTAAATAATAAAAAATCTGCAACAACTCCGCATCAATGAACTATTGCATAATAAGTAATGCAATAATTGCTGACACTTTGTTGCACATTTTTTTTGATATCATAACTTATGTTACCTTTTGCAGTAAAGCGCATCCAGATACAAAGTCACGGTTTCTTCTTGCGATGCAGAGGCATTCGAGTAGAGAATGCATATTGGCGGCTTGTACCGCGAGGAAGGCGACACCGAGGCAGTTCGCTAAGAACACTTCGGCAGTGGTAATCAACGCGCCCATCTCGTCTGTGCCATACACCTGGGTCGGGTTGATGACCTGGCTGAACGACAGTTGAGACATTTGCTCCTGAGCTGACGGCTTGGGTATGAACAAGCCAACGTCGCGTACGGGCGTAAAGCCAGGGATATTGCATGCGAACTCTTCATATACAGTGATCTGGACGTCCGTGGGCCCTCCGACGCGGAGGCGGACACGCTCAGGCAAGCGCTCGGTCTGGTACGAGAGGACCATGGGATCGTAGTACCGTCGCCCTTCCTGCCGCGCCAGCTTACGCATCTCGTAGTCGCTGAGTAGCCGCTTGTCCAGCTCAGGCAGCGCCTTCTCAACTGCAGTCTTCTGGATGAACGCACACGCCAACTCCATGTTTTCTGTAGCTAGAACAGCAGCTGCGCTTTCTATTACCTCCTTCTGAAATACCAGAAACTATTAATATGATAGTAAAATATTTTTTGGTTTCCACCATAGAGTAAAAGAAAATTAAAAGAGAAAAAGTTCCTATCATTGTTAATAAGTAATAGGCAAGAAATCGAAATCAATAATTCTTATTAGTATAAAGAGAATTAGTGTAACAAAGATATGAAATAGTTTAGTAGTTTTGAAATATTAGAATAAAATTAACTTTAACATTATTAAACAATAGTACTATTTATACCTTATTGCGGCCAAAATCAGTAACCTAACATTTGATTATAGAGGAATAATTTTTCAGCCTCACAAGTACAGAATATCCTGGACAACTCTTCACGATGATGGAAAATTTGAGCAGCTAACGCGCTCTATAGACCTGTAACAATCTTATCCCACCTAACCTTATACAAGCAACCTACCTACAATAACCCTTGAAAATACAATTTCGTATAACAGGCCAATCGCTTCCCTATGCATTAACCCAGCCCATTCATTTACTCAGTTCATAAATGTTAGGATTGGATTCATTGGATTAACATCATGAACATGTCAACAATCTGTGTCTTATCTAAGTTAGTAGTTCATAATACAGATGTAATAACATTTTGTATACAGAGCTTGAGCCCAGAACTGAATCAGACACGAGCTCTCTATCCAAGATGCATTAGTAGACATTATGTTTCACTTTGCTTATGAAATACTAACCTGTTGGGGTGTGGAGGGCATCAGTGCGGTAGCGAAAGCACCCTTGAGATTGGTGCTGATGGTGCTAATGATCTGCTCGCGACACGTGATCATCGCCATGCCAGCGGTCAGGTTACGCATCATGTGATGCGCGCAGGTACGCATTCTTACTTCATCGGGGTCCAATGCGAAATCTTTTCTTATTATTTGCTCACACGTAGTCAAAGCATACTTGATTGACCTATCCACCACAGGGTGGATCCATTCCTGAATCGACCTCTCGATCGCGGGCTTGACAAACTGTTTTAAGTGTGGATAGTTTTGGAAAAGGAGAATATGCGGATTGAAGCAAATCTTCTGACCAAATGCAGATGTAGAGGAGACGTTCACGTCCAAGTAATTGAATCTGGGTTCGGGAAGACCGATGACTCCCATAAGGTTCGGGTCGCCCATCAGGCCGCTCGTGGGCGTCGGAGCGGTGACAGTCATGTCATCTGTTGGTATCATCGGAGGCTGCGGAGGCATCATCTGCATTGGTGGAGCTTGAACTATGGCCTGGTTGACTGGTACCACTGCCGCCGCCTCCTTGCTTGGTTTAGGTTGAGACAGTTGGAACTCAATCTGTCTGACTTTTTCGGGATCTTTCAAGTAAATAGCCGGTTTTAGATTAGCTATGTCCAAGCCCAGATTCTTGCATAGCACTTCTATTTCGAACTTCAAATTCAGTTTTAGATCGGGTTCTTGGTGTAATTCAGCAAGAACATTCATCAAAGCCATCGTCCAGGGGTTTGGTGGTTTGAAAACGATGCTTTTAGCGCATGATTCTAAGACTTTGGCGACAAATGGTACCACGTACAGAAGTTCCTGTTGACCTTTATGGTAGGCTTCAAGCACTAAGGCTTTGAGGTCAATATCCACATGAAGAATAGGCTGGTTGCGCGCTAATGTCAGCATGCCAAGCCAGTGACCGAGATTCTTCAGTAGTGAACGATCAGAAAAGTTTGCTATGCCTTTATCTGAGCGCAATAATACTTTGATATTACGATAAGTCTCTTTTGTGACCATCTTGTTGACATCTCGAATTTTAAGAACGTCAAGGAAATTGGAATATAAAGCATGGAAATTGAGCTCGATAGACGCTCTCTTCATGACTAAATATTGTGACAGCCAAGGATAATATTCATCCGTGATTATTTCCTTGAGTTCTTCGCATTTAGTTTGCAAATTAAGTTGACTCAAATTGTTGAAAATAAAAGCAGTTTTGTCTTGTATGGGTTCAGGAGGAGCGTTGATCTTCTCTTCCCTATCAGTGGCCGTGAGCAGCGTGTCAATGTTTGTGGCGTTCGCGATCGAGGGCCGACTTCCCATGCCGCCGGTCGTGCAGTTGGCGACTTTCGATATCACCGAAATCGCTGGAGTTGCTCTGTAAAATGGATGTTAAAATATTCAAATTAAATGTAATGTTTAGTAATATGTATGTCTATATTTATATGTATGTACTTGTGTACATAATTATACATATCTTGATATGTTTTCACATAGGACACAAATTTTGCTAGGATACACAAATTTTAAGAGTTTGACATACCTGTAAGGAGCAGTCGCAGTTACAACTGGAGGTTGGTTCAGCATCGCAGCGAGGCTTGTAGGTAACACAGCTCCCTGGGGCTTTGAAGGCGGTTCTTGACTCTGCAGTCCATATTCTACATATTCGATGAGATGCGGAGGGAATTCGCTAAAATGGGGAATGGCTCTGACATGTTCGCAGTATTTGTGATAATCCTTCAGACGTGACTTGAATCTATCCAAAGCTGCTATTCCAAAGTAATACATTTTAGAACCCTCCGGTTTTCTCAACGCGTCGAGAACGAATCTCAAAGCTAGACCGAGCGAAACATAGCTGGGCACAAGTCCTTTCTCGATGATACCTCCGAAGAGCTGAGCTGTAATGTGAAGTTCTTTGTCTGGATATTGAGGGAAGAACTTGTATTCTTCAAAGAGGTTCCGTAGCATACAAGAGAACACTTCACGCTCTCGTTTGTTTGGTGAATCCTGGAACTTTTTTAGCATATCCAACACCTCGTCTATAGAAAGAGTTGGATGCGGAGGGTGGTTATAAATCCTTTGGAAATATCCGTTTGCTTCATCCTCAATCTCTTTTGCGACATTGTGCATCATCTCAGGGAAATGAATGGGATCTGGAATACGTGGTTTATCCATTGCCGGAGCAGGAGCCATTCTAGCCAGTCCCATGTTGGCAACGTTCGCGTTATGTTGTAATGGCATCATTGCGAAAGGGCTATTTGGCCCGGCGCCCATCAGTCGTGACGGAGATCCAGGTGTAGTAACTAAAGGTCCCAGTGTACCAGTCATTGCAAACGCAGTATTTGCAGGGGCCCCTAGGGTCATATTTGCAACGTTGGGAGTCAAATTAGTGATGGAATCTACATGAGGTGGGAAAAGCTGTCCGCCTAATCCCGCCGGGTTGAAGGGCGTCTCCAACACTCTGGTGTGTGGCCGAGCGATTCCGGCTATAGTCTGCCGAGTCTTACTTAGAATGAGGGTTTGACAGTTAGCAATCACATTGCAGATCGCCTCCTGCAGCTCTTGTTGTACGTTAGGAATGCATAATTGCAAGCAAGCCAACATCGTTGCAATCGTCTCATGTGGTAGTTGAGCTGCTTTCGGTAGTTGTTCTTCTGGTCCCTTGCCAAGTACGAGTGGACATCTTCTTTGTAAGAATTTGACCATTGAGGATACGAACGCTTCTCCATGGTCTCTGATTTTATCCGTTAACCATTTGTCTAATTTCAGATATTCCCTTCGAGACGCCAAACAAGCTAAATCGATCACGAAGGGAAAAGATTGAACGTTTAGTAATAATGACAATGCCTTCAAATCCTGTGCTACATCTAAGATCCTTGAAAGTTTTGATTGATCACAATCTCCACGAATGTACCATTCTGCCATTGAATGCATGATGACAGCCTTAATATTAGGATTCTGATTGTGCCAAGCATGATGCAAGATGATTCCTGAATTAGGATGGTTGCCCAAAAATATTGGTATCAATGTTGAGAACAGCTCTTGTCTGACAACATTTACTGGTGGACTAATCTGTAGTAAAGCCAGCATCAAAACATCAGGACAGTATTGCAAAGGAATCTTGAATAGTTCCTGTACTTGAATGTAATAACCTCGCTCTGACGCATACAACAACAGCTCGACCAGGTAAAGACATCGCCATGTGGCCACGTCTTTGTTGTCTGCTTCCGGAGGTGATTTCAGTAAGTCAATAGATACTGGGTGGAATGGATGATCGGCGAAGCTGAAGATATCGGGATACTTGAGTATATTCGTGATGAGACTCATTTGCCCCTCTAAATTCGTCCAACGCCGGCACAAGTATTCTACAGGGAATATGTTCGAAGGATAACCCGCACTTTGTAGGCCGAGTCGCAGTATCGTGAACAGCAAGCTGAGTCCTTGCCGATCAGGTACGAAAAACTCGGGGTGGTCCAGTTGTAGAATGACCTCTTTCCAGTTCAGGTTAGATGCGAGTTCTTTTAGTGTTTGCACTAAGACTTCTGCATTCCATGATTCTCCGTGTCCTTGTGGTAGGGGTTCTTTCTTGACGTCGTGGCCGACCCAGAAGTTCCCTGGTGTCTGTATAGGTGGTCCATCTTGGACGGTTGTGTGGTATCTGACAATTGTCGATATGATTTTAGCCACATCTGTTGCAGTGGGCTCCCGAGCGCCAAAGTTTAGCATGTTGTTCTTGCATTCCTCTACCGATGAGGTGAAGGAGTAGCCGATGTCTCGGATGATCTCAGCTAGTGAGTTATCCATCATGGCTGCGGCCATGTCGTCAGCTGTAGTCATTTCCTCGAGAGGAGTCTGTGTGTCGTCAGGGTAAAGTAGCGGCGCGAGCACTATGGGCACTACTTCGCGAGGAAAATCAACTCGCAACTTATTCAAAAACAAGTCTTTTGTCACTGCGGCTAACCGAAAGTTTTCATGCGCGAGATTAGTCAGAAGAGTTTGCAACACTTCAGGGCTGCATTCCTGAAGTCCGGCACGCTCCACTTGATGTCCGCGCTCTGTGAACCGAAACACGGCGCGTTAGTTCTGTAGTGGAGGTAGTAAAACATTTCAACAAAATATGAACATCGTTGTAACTACGATATGTAGGTCTAATTCTAGTCTAGAACAACGTGTACACGAAATACCGACCTGCGTCGAGGTAACACTGTACGAGATCTAAGAATCTCTTTTTAAGATGTTGCTTGGATAAGTTTACAATTTCAGATTTCGACGAGTTCCTCTTCAGAACCAGAGAAAGGGCAACATCCTCAGCAGTGGTTAACTTTAACAATCTTGACAGGCGATTCAGTAAAGTATTTGTTGGTTTTAATATCTGCAAGAAATCAGTGCTTTAGTGGTATTCAACTATTTTATTAGTTAGTAGATAAAAGCACTGGAAAATTTACTGCTTTTAATGCCCAATTCTTGTCTGTTACAATTCAATAGACAATAGAAAGGCTCGTGATTTTTAAACCTTATCTACACTATATCAATACAGTATGAAATTGACATAGTACAAACTTAAAGTACCTACATCTGTATGGTGTGTTATGTCCTTGTGTTTATGATAATCCCCATGGCCTCCCGGCCAGCTGCAGTTAACAAAATATATTTCACAGAATATCTCATACCAACAATAAAAAAATATTTCGTATATTTAATAAGCAGTAGGTACCTACACAAAACTAATCAATGGTTTAAAACAATATGTGTAATAATACCAAATGGGAATAACAAGGATTGAAATAATGTGCAGTAATTTAACAAAGTCAGCAGGTAATGGTATAATGGTTTGGAGTACAGGACAAACAGACGATACAGGTGAAACAGCAAATATTTCATTATGATGAAAAGCACCTTCAGAAGTGTTTGAAAGACACATTTTGTAAAGGGTACTTACCTTCTGTAGAGTTCTGTTGGGTTGATCTACAGCCCGACAAATGACTGTCGACTTGGCTGGATGGTTGAGCAAGGACGCTAGGTGCTGTGCGAGCAAAGACGCGTGGATGCTGTTGTTAGGAGTATTTGCTTGACGATCAGTGTCCCAAGAATTCTTGGCTGCTTCAGTGAGCAAGCACCTCAAGAGTTGATTTTCTGCTTCCAGCCCATATATGCTAACCAGCTGTAATAGAAGGAAAACATTTGTTAATAATAAAATACAGACAACATTCAATACAAACACTAAGAACTTTAGAATTATAGAAACGGGTAAATGTATTATTTGTAGCTATTTAACATTACCACAATTATGAGACATAAACGCTGAGCCATAACATTAAATAGCATAAATCATTGGCCACATTGGATAATAATATATGCAAGAGTGAAATTAGCTCTTGTTCAAAACATGGAATTTGGAGTAACACCTACTTTTTGTGTGTTATACTGCAGACCTTTCCGGTTAAACAGCCTTACTATGAATGATAACTCGGTTAATGGCAGACTTAATTAACTATCAGATAAAACATTGGACTTCTTCAAAGGGTAGGACGTAAAATAAATGATAGAAAGTTATCAGTGCTGTCCATGTACACCCACAACACCGGAGAAGTTACAAGAGAGTTGATGTGTGAACCAAACCAATCATATTGATGATGTTAAAATAATTTCCTAGTAAGGCTACAATTTGTTTAGAGTTTATACAAATAAAACCAGAAACCTAATTGTCTTTGTCCAAAGATAGTCATTTATCTAACTTTCTTTATCTAATCACGACTATTACTTGATTTCAAATACAAAAACATGAGTAATCATTAGTGTTGTTAAGTATAATAATATTGTTTCACTTTTATCTTTATTTTATTTCAAATCTTTGTAAACAGAGTTTAATTAAGTAGTTGGAAATACAAGTGGTGGCAGTATTGTGTTAAAAAAAAAGAAAATAAATGTTGAAGAAACAAGATCTATATTAAATGAATATAACTTTATCATCCATACTAATTTTAGTAATAATACCTTCACTAATTATATCATATTCACAGGCACGACAACGAGACATTGTTAAAAATAATAGACACCATTGATTGTCACTGCACAGGTCAAAGGAGCAATTGTAGCAACATCATTATTCACTATGTTTAACATAGTCGTAGGTCGTATAAATCGTATATAACAGCATGCAATTATACTACTAGATAAAGACAACATACACCACACGAAGCGGCCCTGTCGTCATTACCTTGATTGCACACACGTTCAATACAATGTGATTGCAAGAACCGTTTAACGCCACGTGACGTCCACAAATCCGCGTAAAACTTTCATTCGAGCCATTTTAGTATAGTTTAACACTTTCCAAAACACTACCGAGGCAACAAACGTCAATGTAACAAAGATGAACCAGACGCAAAACTATCGACTCAGTGTTGCCATAACCGTGAATCCGTTTCCTACCGTAGCGCCCGCTGCTACTGCTTTAATGCTACTAAAATGTTTCTTAACAGTATTTTTGTTTATTTTTTTGGTCTCTAATTTTGTTGGTTATATTATTTTATGTTTTGTGAAAACTACGATACGAACGATATATTTCCAAGTAAAAAAAATATAGTGTACACAACTTTGTATCACTGTGCCGTCGTAGTAATTAATCATTATAGTTTAACATTCTACATATATGCAAAATCAGGTATTGCCAAGATGCGTCACAATGACTTACTTGGATATTTATTAGGGGTAAATTTTTACTTAAGGTTAACGAGATCAGTGAATTATAATTATTAAAGTAATTTCACTTTACTCTATCTAAATATTAATAAGTTTTATGAAATAAGTGCCAGAATTTACCGCTCTGACTAGGAACTATCCCATAGGTAATTCATGCATCAATCTAACGTGTCAAAAATATCTAATCTACCTGCTGTGCCGGTGAAGATGGTTGATGTTCGGAAATAACTAACAGTGATCACATCACATACACATAGCGGAATTATAGCGAATGAATTTCGAGGACCGTCAGCGTTAAGATAAATATTACAAAATTGGTATATCTGTCCTCTTTTCAAAAAAAAGCTTTTTTGATAAGTACCTAGATCACAATTCAAATGTATTTTTATAGACAAATTATAAAATTTGAGACAACGCATGTCATTATACCGTACCGTATAAAAGTTGTTGGTGATTTTGCGCGTAATTAAGAATAACTTAAGAAGAATAAGAACAAGTAAATAATAATGAATAAAACATTAATGGAAATATAATTGAATAATTCTTAGTCAAATTCTATTTGTCTTTGAACTTACCTACCAAAAAATCACTATTAGAAATACACTAACAAAATTGTGTTTGCAACATTATTTGGTTTTATATTTTCAGCCATTTTTTCATTTATGACCGCAACTTTATACTGTTTTTATCATTTATCTATCTGTAAGGATAAAATCTGCGAGACTATGCTTTCCATTGATATCTATTAATTACAGTTAACCGTAGCTAACAGTTAATGAAAAGCTGTGGTTGTACTGCACTTATGCTCAATCACTGTTCGACACGACCGCTCCCGATCACAGTCGTGCAGATACTGAATTAATTTCGAAGCACTTCTTGAATTTGTACCAGAGCAATCCTTTAGCGACAAAATACTATACACTATCTATATTATACTTCTTTTATACGACAATCCTAGCATTAAAGTTACCTACAAATCACAGTATTCAGTTCAAATTATAGATATTTAACTAAAACGACCTCGTCTTGCAAAGTTATCTTCAAAATATATGCGACTAGCTATTCTCTCGTGGTTTCACCCGCTAAACGGCTCCATTTGATCACAGCGTGATGTTTTATAGCCTATAGCACTCGGTAACATTGTAGCTATCTATCAGTGAAAGAAATTTGGCAATCCGGTGGTTCTAAAGATTACTTCCTGCATACAAATTCACAAAATTTACCTATTTAAAATATTAGTATAGATATAGGAATAACCACGGCACGACATTAGAAGAAAATATCTGCATAACTGTCTAAAGGACAATTCAATACAAAATTGGAAATAATTGCCTGAAAACCCTTAAACACAAATCATCGGAGATGACCTGATTCCTCAACCTAGTTACAGGCTCCTAGCATTTACTGGGCGACCTGAATTAAGTTAGTTGGTAAAGGTAAGTCCACAAAGGAAGCATCCCACCTTTGATGAAAATCTAGTTTGTGCTGGTAGTAATAGACGAGTACGGAAATTGGAAATTTCCTTGTGTACACCGGAGGTAACAGGTTGGACTAAAATTGTAAACATAATTTTCAATACGTGCTTCCTCTACCCCTCGTATTTCACATTTAAGTTTTCGTAAAACGCTGTTTTGTTTATTAATAATTAGTTTTCGACAGCTCCGTAATTAATTTATCATTAAACATATTAAAATATAATTATACTAGTTTTTGGATACATACAAAGTATAAGCACTTATAATTTTCACAGCGATACCAAATCCAAATAACTGAAAGCAGTTACGTTTGACGAATAGCAAGATACTTGAATTGCATTAGAATGAGTTATATACATAAAGAATACGACTTTTGCCTTCTCTATAAAAATATCAAGATTGATAACGCTCAAATTACTGTTACACTTGATCTACGTCGACTGGTGACTTAAAACGTGACTGTTCTTCATTTTCAATCTACGTATCACGCTAGAGTATTTAAAGCTACCATAGTCAAGTGTTTCAACTCACAGTTCACACACATAAAAATAGTACTACTATAACATTGATGGTTTATTTATACATATAAGAAATGTGTTTGTCTGACATTGTCGCTCATCTCGAGTTCGTAAATGAGGACCGACGATGACTTTAATCAATAGGTACAATAGTAATCAACACTTATTTATTTTTAAAATGTCAAGGTCATAACACCTTTAAAACTTTAATGGTTCCCGCAAACGTGACGCATCCGTAGTGCACAACTTGCACAGATTTGGCCAAAGTCAATCGTAGAACTAATTTTATCTTTGAGTTGTACACTTATTTTATCGCACAAACATTGTGTGCAACGGAAAGGTAACGACTGTAGATTTACCTATTGTATACTTCATGCTGTTTAATACGTAACTACTCTTTGTTTTGTGTCCGCGTATCCATGGTATCGGCACGACCGATATAGCAAAAATGAACTTTATGTAGCTCAGCTAAGTTTATAGATTAATGTACTATTCATAAAAACAAACAATTTTGTGTGACTAATTATACGATTAGCTTCCAGTCAAATCACGGCAATTGACTCGTCAATATTCAATGGAAATGTGCATGTGAATGTGTACTTTATTGAATTGTTTTACGGTACACAATGGAATGCAAGTTATGAATAATAAGGTGGAATAGCGGTTTCGATTAATCGCTAGAAATAGAAGCAAAGCGGCTACGTGTATTTCCATGAATTATTTGCTCCTTCAGTCATCCATCGATCGATAAGAAAAATTATATTTGATACATATAGATGTGTGTGTGCCTGTCTAGGTCAGGTGATGAATTAAGTCATAGTATGGGTTATCGATATCAATATGAAGTTACTTTTATACATATTGACCTTAAAACATAGTCCACACAAACATAATTAACTGAACAGTGTGTTATTCTTAATCCAATTGATCTTAATTAATCAAATTACTAGGCATGATCGGATACATAAGAACAGTTAATATAAATCATTAACATAAACTCTCGAAAAGTTATCTGATCTGAGCAAAGAAATATTTTGACATAATTCGACAAAAGGAGTTAACTTTCATGTCTCAATGAAATATGAAAAAAAATTGACCTGTATATAGAATAATGACTGTGCATGTTAGCATGTCTATATTATTGAAAATATAGTCTGGAGCATCCAAAATAATGATGGTCATTCACATCATAAATTCTAAACTTAAACATACCAAATTTGGGTTTTAAATATTTTAAGAAAAAATTGATAGTGCATGCTAAAGGTCATTCTCCGTTATTATTGCACATTAAGAATGTATATTGTGTTAAATATCCCCTCGTTATATATAATATTTATGTATATGCGTGTATGTGATGTAACAATGAAAACTTTTAAACTGACTCAATGGATGGATGGATATGGATATCTGGATATCCTGGTGAAACTATCATTGAAATTACGAAAATATTGGTGGCATCAGGGATG